GTGAAAATTTCGCGTCCCTCATTGGATGCAGCCGCTTCAAACGCATTCGAATTGTTCCGAGTTGCTTGCTTATTTCGAGCGGACCCGATCTCAGCAATTCGTGTCGATCTAGGGAAAGCTAGAAAACAACCCGCCATTATCACCAAAATTGCTGAGAAAGATGCTCGATCTGAAGGGGGCCTCACGCACTCACCGCTCCCACGCACTCATGGCCCTCACACCACGTCATGCACTCACCGCCCTCATGGCCCTCACGGCCCTCGCGCCTCTCATGCCACTCACTGCCCTCACGCACTCATGGCCCTCACACCCCTCACGCACTCATCGCCCTCACACCACTCACTCACTCATGGCCCTCACGCCACTCACCGCCCTCACGCCACTCACCGCCCTCACGCCACTCACCGCCCTCACGCCCCTTACGCACTCATACCCCTCACCGCCCTCACCGCCCTCACGGCCCTCATGGCCCTCACGGCCCTCATGGCCCTTACGGCCCTCATGGCCCTCACGGCCCTCACGGCCCTCACCACCCTCACGGCCCTCACCGCCCTCACGGCCCTCACCGCCCTCACGGCCCTCACCGCCCTCACGGCACTCACCGCCCTCACAGCCCTCACGGCCCTCACTCACTATTACACTCATGAATTTTCCTGGTTCTGAAACTCACTCACCCTCACCTCACCTGTGAAGATGAGGGTGAGTGAGGGTGAGTGAGGGCCCTCATGAGTGAGGTTTGCCGAGGTATGGCCGCAAGACGTCCCGTCGTGCAAGCGCCTCGCCTCATTGTTGCCACAAAACATCTAGTTTTCATCAGAAATCAAACATATTTAAGGTTTGAGTGCACAACTTTCTATCTTGGTTTTCTGGGGCCCTAATCTGGAGACTTGGCGAAAAAGTCGGCGAGAAGTCTGGCGGCTGCGCTTGGCCGACGCCGCACTTGACTTTGGCGCCGGCCAATCAGAACCGTCAGATTTCTCGCCGTCTTTCGCGCCAAGTGTCCAGATTAGGGCCCCTGTTCTATTTTGTTGTCCCAGAAGACAACACTAAAATAGTATTTCGTCGTGTTAAAATTGTTTACTTACACCATGATTGACGCAAACATTATCTGTGAGCCCGCGGCAAGTTTGGGACCGGAATCGCAACAAACATATCGCCTAAATGCCATTTTGAGATTTTGTCTGGCAGGTCCCATCTTGAATGTCATTTGGCATAAATGCCATTTTAGGTGCCGTCTGCCAGGGGTAACACAGAGGCAAAAACTGAAGAATAGCTTTTCTAGCCACGTTTCAGTAAGGCAAACGATGAATTACCTGTAACTCCGGACAAGAACTCGGATGACTTTGTCCTATGACCACAAACATTCTGGTAAGAGAGAGTGAGTGCGCTCCATGCTACCTGATTAGCCCAACTATTTTTGAACTTGGCGCTACAAGTTTTGCCAAAGTCCAACTCGGTTTAACTCGATATTGGCAAGTTCCTAATCGCGAGTAAATTGGCATAATGGAAATGTCGTAGTTGGTTGGTAGCAGTTGTTTTCTTGGTATGGTACGAATGTTTTGTGGTGCTTTTTCGCGAAAAATGAAATTAAACGCTTTATATTTTGTAATGCAGCTTGTTAATTATGTGATCTATGTTCATGATAGTATTCGATTAATGCGAGCAGAAAACTTACTGCTAAGTGTCTTGCGCAATTTTTGAGCTAACAATGACACCCCCAAAGGCCTTTATAACAAACGCCTTTACTAAGAAAATACCGTTTAATGAAGTAAAATAAAGTCCTGGCCAGTCTCTTTGTGTTCAATGTGTTCCTCTGACAACTACAAATTCCTGCTTAACAAATATATCTATTTAATGAAGGAATTCGCGACTCTACAAAACAAAAATGACCGGTATTATAAATTTTCTGGGTGAAAAGTAATCGCTTTTACGTAAATTGTCGCTCTTAAGTGGCGCGCATAGAGAACAGAAATACCGCGGCACTGGAGACGATTGGCACTGTCGCCTCCGTCGCACGCTCGTGGTCTCGGTCCAAATAATTCGTCGGTATGCAACCATGTGTCCAGATCGGGGTCTCGAACACGCGGCCGCACAGGTATCGTGCGGCTTCGAGCCCCCATTGCCATGTCTCGAGTGCTACATGCCCCATAAAAACATAGTTCTGTATCGTCCATTCATTTCTGCTCGTACAACGTGTTCTCATATCTTACAATATAATCTTTTCTTTCGGACTGAGTAATGCTTCGTCTAAATATTAGCTTCTCAGCCCTTCCTCGTGTAGATCAACCGGAACGACGATACCACTATACTAGGCTACAAGCACAAGCTTTGCACAAAGAGGAACCTCTGCTACATGAACTCAGCGGAAGAAAGTTAAAGCTGCTCGAGCCTCTGGTCGTCAGAAAACATCATTAGAGTATGAGTCTTTTCTTATAATTCTGCTACAAAATTGTATGAGGAGGTATTTGTTTCCGTGACTGATGAGCTTAGTGAATTGTGCGATAGGGCAACGACAGTGCGATTGATCTTATTCTAACGAAAGCTGCTAGCACAATGGCATTTTCAATCGTATCACATCAGCTGTGGCCCAGAGGATATGCGAATCAAAGCAACTCTGGCAAAACAGCGCACTTACAAAAAGCAGCGAACAGGAGATCCCTTCTCTAGAAAATTCCTGTGGTATTGCTGGGAGAGGCGGCTGGTTTCCAAAATTAACCAGCATTGCGGGCCTTTTTTGTCCCAAAATACCGAAATAGTGCCCCCCCCCCCCCTTTTCTCGTTGGCCCTCAACCTTTTGGGCTAGACTACCTGCCTCCCCCCCCCCCCTTCCTACAATGAGTTTTAGACCTCTGGTCCAGAATGTGCTACGTGACTACGTTGCTGCGCAGAAAGCCTGTACGCAGCAACGTAGCGCCATCTAGACACAAGATCGTACACTACCAAATTGTTCCGACCCAGAACCGAGTAGGCGTGACGGATGCCGTCCCGCCTCCGCCGCACAATGCGCATTATTTGGCACGGAGGTTGGTGCTTTGGAATGCACCCGCACGAACGAGAGTGTGTATTCAAAGTATTTTGGTGCGCAGTCGCAACTTTTAACATTTGTTCAACGGACGCGCCGACCTTCGTGAGGATTCCCAATGTTGCTCGATTGGAGTCTCAAACTGTTCCTTCTTAAAGCTGTAATTTGATCTGGGACTACACGCGATGCCGAAATCTAAGTGCAATTGGTAGAGCTTCAGAGAAAAATGTTTCCTCCTCTGTGACACGAGTGCAAAAAAAGTGAAAGCCGTTTACAAATCCCTGTAACGCCGAATTGGAGCGCAGCTCTTGAGGAGGAGGAGTGAAGGGTACTGAGGGGAGGGTAGACCCCTCCTCCTCCCCTCATTCTTTAATATGCTCCGGGGGGGCGGTCACGTGACCTCGGGGGGGGGGGTGTCACGTGACTTCGGGGAGGGGGGTCACGTGACCTCAGAGGGGTCACGTGACCTCAGAGGGGTCACGTGACCTCAGAGGGGTCACGTGACCTGGGGGTCACGTGGATGTCACCTTGGGGTCACGTGACCTTGATATGACCTTGGGAGGGGTCACGTGACCTTGGGGAGGAGACCACGTGACCTCGGGGGTCACGTGACCTCAGAGGGGTCACGTGACTTGGGGGTCACGTGACCTTCAAAGGGTCTGTGGGGTCTTGGGGTCACGTGACCTTGAGATGACCTTGGGAGGGGTCACGTGACCTTGAGATGACCTTGGGAGGGGTCACGTGACCTGGAGGGGTCACGTGACCTTGGGGATCACGTGACCTTGGGATGACCTTGGTTACGCCGACGGCGACGCCGACGGCGACGGCGACGGCGACGCCGCTCAAGCCGGGAACGGGCCCCTAAGAGCTGCGCTCTAAAAGGTTGGTTCTTTGTGCGCCCCTCCTCGGTGCTCTGGAACGCCGTGCGCTGGAGCGTGGCCAATTGTGCTGTGCTGCTCTGGTCCTCTGCAGCAACGGCAGTGCTACCACTGCTGTTGTGTCCACTCCTACGAGAGCAGCTGCTTTGAAAGCTTTCTCAGAATCACACGGGGTGGCGCTAGCTGCCACCCGGTTGAGAACAGTCCAAATTTACGCAGCCTGCGAATGCCTCTTCTCTGCAGAATCGGGGGTCGCTGTCAATGGTTTGGCGATTGTTGCGATTCATATTTTGATAACTCAAGCAACTTTTTTGTGTGCAAGTCTGCACAGCTGGAAATTAGTCTGCAGTAAGGAGCGCCTGGTGTCTCAGCTGTAGATGACAAACTTTGCCAGTGGCAGTACTGGGGGTATGGCTAGCCCGGTATCCTTATATTGCGTCGCGCAGTGGTGAGTACACAAACGTTGCCTATGCAGTTTTCATTTAGACAAAAAGGTAATAGAGCGCATCATCCTGGATTCTGCAGGGCGAGCTGGGATGCACTAGTAGACTTGGCCTTTATTCCCCATTTTGATAGTCAATTGTCAATTTACAAAACCTAGTTTCTGACGTCATGCATGTACGTCAACGTGCGATAGCACAAATTCGGTTTCGCACAGTTGATTTTTCGCACTCAACTACTACGACGAAGTTTCCTGTACTACGAAAAATTCCTCCGGTCCCACGGACTTCCTTATAAAGGCTTTCCATTGTAGCACCATTGGCCCCTTCCTCGGTATTTCCAGATGTATGTGTTACAAGTGTAAATTGAACTCGCTTCGCACCGGCCAACGTTCGTCGGCGGCAAGAAGCGGAAGCATGACAGACGCAGTTCGGTTTCAACACAACACTAAGTGAGGGAGCCGTGTGGCCCCCTGTTTAATATAGAGAGCTGCACTTCCAGACATCAGGCCACGAGGGGACCTTGTGGCACTACATGCTAGCCAGGTATATAACAATATGAACTTTCTTTGATTTGATGATTGAAAATACTTTCATTATTTTTTTGACAACTCGAAGTGATTGTGAAATCGTTCCCGAATGTTTTTTCTTGTTTTGCAGCTTAAATAGGAATCTTCTTCTGCAGAGCTTGGAACAGTTTCGGGTACCACGACATAAGATGATGCGAATGAGCAGTAACTCCCCCATTGAAGTGCACATTCTGTGTGAACATGAAATTGATTTATGGTGGCCCTTCTCGCCGTCAAATGAGATGGTCAAGAAGGTGCCTCGGTGAATGAATCTATGCCCAAAGCGATTGTGACAAAGTATTTTTCCCCACCACCATTCTGAAATGTACGGAGGAGTCCAAGGGGCCCGGGTAAGAAATGCCCCTCTCCCGAAAAAGAATTGGCGCCATGATTTTGTTGCGAGTGGTGTGAGCGATGAGGGGCTTTTATTTTGCTGTGGATCTCCCATTTGAAAAGGCGTCCCAAAGGGGGTGTTTGTCCCTGCAGACTGGGTCCGGGAAGACGTACACGATGGGCACTGGGTACGGCCTGAACCTGGACGAGCACGAGCGGGGCATCATTCCCCGGGCGGTAGATCAGCTCTTTGCCGGCATTGCTCGGCGCCAGGCGGAGGCCCGGGAGAAGGGGGCCCCTGTCCCGGACTTCAAGGTTCACGTCCAGTTCATGGAGGTAAGAACTTTATGCAGCAAAAGCCTTTATGCTCGGCCTCAACTACTTTGCGCTACGCTGTCAAGGCTGCATCTTGCGTTTCTTTCGCTCGAGAACACTCGGAAATGACACGCAAGATGACGCCACGTGCTCTCACCAGTGCAAGGCGGCAGCACTTTGGAATACGTGCTAGCCTTATACAGTGCGATTCACTTATAACGGTACCACATACAATGGTGCACTGCTTATAACAACCAGTTTCTAGAGTTTCTAGTCTAGAAACGGTCAGATTCTAGTCCAGTTGCAACGATAATCGGTTATAACATTTGAAGTTTCAGGTTTTCTCGCTTTCGTTTTAAGTGGATTGCACTGTAGACCCTTTACGGCAACTTTGCATAGGTGCCGCCATCTTGAAATCGCTCGACCCTGCCGCCGTGGCCGACCTTCAGTTTTTCATCGGTAGAATGCGTTTTCTGCTGTACCCCACCACAAATGGAGATTTTAATGCAGAATGTGTTTTATGAGCAGTTTTTTATGCCTTTAACGAACTAGTGTCGTAGCGAGCGTCACAAACGAGTGACGTGCTGGGAGGGGCACGGACGTTAACTGTATAAGCTTCACATATAAATTCAGAGCGTACTCGAACCTGTGTCAGTGGGCTGGCAGTCGGATACTATAGCCACTGAGCTACTAGCACAGCTGGTCTGCCAGGGGAAATGGTAGGCTCATGCAAATATTCAATGTTTTCAAATGTTCCATCGAATAACATACGACCCAAAATTCGATTCAAATTCCGGTATTCGGAAATTTCAAAATATTTGACGCGAGCGAACAGCGAACTTCGAGGTACTTGTTTTGGGGCGGTTTCGGTTTTATTTAGCAAGTACCAGCGCCATGGACACGTCCAGGTGAGCTTTATTTTTCTTTCGAAATCCACTAGATTGTCAACACTAGCCAGTAGCCAAATGAACTGGCTGCGTCGTTGGGACCACTCTGCTGTTTCGGATCACCATGGCAAACGTGTCGACTGCTGGCAACCCGATAGGGAGTTATTTCACAAACATTTCTCCGGGCACTGAAGCTGGATCTTTAACGTGCAAAGTGGTACTGAAGACCCTGACAACGCTTGCAATGCACCTGAAGAGACATCTGGACTGAAACCAGACCTACCTCAATGAGTAAAAGAACAACTAAGCTCAAGCAGGCAAGCAAACCCAAGCTTCAGTAGCAACAGATGACAAAAAAGATGGTTTGTAGTTATAGTCTGAATTCCTCGGCACGATGAACAATGCCTGCCGTTTTTCCAGAGCGTTATGACTCGAAGAAAGAGGAGCTGAAAATATTAGACGTTTACAATTCTCGTTAATCCCGGATTAGAGCGCAACTCTTGAGGAGGGGAGTGTACAGAGGTTGGGTATGTGCCTCCTCCCCCCTCCACTCCTCCTCGCCTGCTGCCTTCCCATTTAGTGGGACATTTTTGCTAAATTTCCCGCTAAATTTAGCTAAATTTTCTGCTCTAAACTTAGCGGGAAATTTAGCAAAGATTTTGCCGCTAAATTGAGCGGGGAATTTAGCGAAAATTTTCCCTCTAAATTTAGCTCAAAAAATTTCTCATAATGCGAGGTGCACGGTTACGCCGATGGTGCCGCCGCTCAACCCAGAAATAGGCACCTAAGAGCTGCGCTCTAAAAAAAAATATGGGGTTCGTCAGCTGAGTAGAGTGCCTCTGGATTGCAACGGATGGTTGGAGATTGCGTATGAGTGACAGTCACGTGTGCGTTCACGCAACGGACACAATGCAGCACGTGCATCATTGGCCTGCGCCCAGATGACAGACTCTCGCACTCCCGAAAACCTGGTGCTCTTCATCTCCGGTGTCGTTGAGGAGTGGGAGCTTCAATCCCAACGTGTGCCGATGTACGTCGTTACCGAGAATGGAAGAAACGTAGGCGGTTGGACGGTCGTCCTGGATTGGCGTGCAGTGTTTCGCGCACAGTCTTCAGCTGCGTTTCAGCGATGCCAAAAGAGAAGTGGCTGCATTTTCTCAGCTCCGCGCGAAAGCCAGAGCGATTGTCAGCCAATACAAAACGAGCGCCAAAGTTCGAGGACACCTTCTTGAGGTGCAGAGGAGCATGGACTCGTATACTCTGGAAGTTGCGCAAGATGGTTTGACGGAACAGTGAGCACGCCACGGTGGCCAGACTTGCGAAGCTGCGTGTGCCCATTACTGTGACACTTTGGACAAGCTCAGCAGGAGGGAGTGCAAGCTGGAGCTGGGAAGGTCCTACATGCGCCTGACCAGGCTATGACCCAGCTCTCTGGGGGCCCAACACCCTCGCGAGTAATGCCCCTCTCGCCGTGCACTCAACCTATAGCAGTGTCTGATCAGGCAGCACGGATTGTCTTTGAAGAGGGACCACCTGGCTGTGTTGGTGGACCCGAGTTCTCAAGATGCACTTGGAAACTTAGAAGGGCGGCAAAGGAGGGATGATGCGTGGAAGACAGGAGACTCTGCAGTTGTACAGTGGCAAATGACTTGAAGGCTTCTTTGGTGTGGTAGGAGTGCTGCCGCTCCCTGGTACCTGCTACACAGGCTCTTTTGAACTGCACTGGCTATTGTAAGCTGCAGAAGGGAGCGCCTCCTGCACTTTAGATCCTTGAGAAAATGAAGAGTTACAGATATTCAAAGTATTTGCTTCGAAATTATTGGACACCAATTACTATTCCCTTAGATTTCGCTTCCAGATAAAAAAAAACAGTATTCGCGCAATAAATGGTTTCATTGTAGTGCAAACGTAAGTAAATAATATAACTAAAATAGATAACGAAATGCATAAAACGAATGAAAAACAAGAGCATGGACGGCACACGGACAGTGTGGGACGCATTCTCAGCTTTCTGACCAGCATGCCCGTAGAATCTTTATATGTTCTGATTACTTTTTGACTCCAGTTAATCTTTACGAATAGAATCTGACTGCAAATGGGTCGACGGAAGAAAATGGCCCGAGTAACACGTTAGGAACCTGGGGGGTTAGCCCCATGTCGCAGAAACCTTGTCCAAATTTTGAGCTAAAAACATCCTTTTCGTCTAAGGCTCGTCAAACTATTAGGCACCAAAGAAAATTGGCCAAACGCCATACAGTGATGGGATCGCTGCGCCAATTGTGCCAAACTGCGCCAAGGGGCTAACCGTGCTACATCCTCCTACATTTCGCCAAATTATGGGTAACCTGCAACAAGCCTGCGCCAAAGGACAAATTTTGGTCGCCTTTCGAAACCGCAACTAAATCGAGTGCCCTAATTGAGCATGCGTGAGCTAGGTGGCGCAAGCGGCCGCCCGACACGAAGTACTCTGCATCAATGGTCCATCCGGTCTTGGATGGTTTTTGCCGCCGTCTCTCGTTTCGGGCTCTCCTCCTCGCGTGGATCTCGTCTTGAGTCTTTTTAAAATTTTTTGACGACAGACGCGGGCGTGTGTGGACGCTCCGACGGTAGCGTGCTGTATATCAGGCCAGCCATGCCGTCATGCAGTGAAACGAAACCACGTTTTTGAGCAGCGGGAGTTACTTTGTGAGCTGAAGCACTCGCTCCTAAAACGACGACGCCGGGTGTTGCCGTCCCCCCGTCGCTGCAGATATGGCGCTTTCTAAACTGAAATGTGAGGACTGTCGCATGTCCATCAACATTCCTGTTCTTGTTTAAATCATACGCTACAACAAGAGTCCCTCTTTAACTCAGTTTGCTGCGTCGAAGTATTGATTACCTAGATTTCTACGGCCAGCCGGCAACAGGCAGGCGGCGCCGGCAGAGTGGGAGCCCACGGTCATACCCCGTTTCGTTGTAACTTGGCAAAGGGTGAATGATAAGCTCCAGATTGCGTGCCGACGGCTTCAAAATGCACGACGACGACGTATACGAGCGCAACGCACGCATATTAGTGAACGACGCAGCGAAAAGCCTGATACTCCTTTGGAGTTGAGGCGCGCTCCGGTGATACGCAGTCACGTTCCCATTGGCCTGCTAAGGCCGTAGCTTCTGCTGCACTGGCATGTTACGCGATATTCCTAGGGTACCCAGTATTTCCTGCTTCAGACACTAGGCTAAGCGGCGCCACTAGAGTAAAGGCTCAAGTTTGAACAATGAAGCAGCTACTCCCAGGGATATCTAATATTTTTTTTTTATTTCAGTCTCTAGATGGCGCCAAACCAACCAGCATTGCAGGTTGCCTATCGGTAGGCTTTCTTTCGAGAGACCTCGATACGTGAAAAATCTTCCGCGAAAGAAAAATGGTGAAAAGAAGTGATCTAAAACAAAGGTAATTTATGCACGCTGAACCCGCACAGCACGCTGGTTTGTCTCGAGTTTAGTCGTTGCACACATTTTGACACTGGCTCGCAATGTCTTGCGCGATGCGCTCAGGTTCTGTTTTATGTGCATACATTGCCTTTTACTTTGTTTGCTGGCCTGGCAGGCACGTGCCGCTGGACTGTTTTTTGTCGTATGCTCGGCAGTTACATTTTGCATAAATTTTGGGAACCATTTGGCGACAGAGCGGAGATGCATGATTTCGGTTTCGATCGAACAGCCATCTCCGCTCGCGCGACGAAGCACGTGCAACTGCAGGCCTGCCGAAGTTGCCCTCATGTGCATGCGAACATGATTGCACCAGCTGGGACGCTTGCAGTTCATTGTTTTACGTTTGCTTACTTTTGATGAAAATCTGGCATGTCGGGAAACAGTAAAACGGTGGCAACGGTCTATCGGAATTGCTCGGCAACACCTACAGCACTGTACACTTGTGGGGAGTCTCAATGTCTCTTTGCAGACATTGAAAGTGGACATTCATTACTAGACTAAGTCAAAGCGACGCTTTGCAGCAGCATTGCAGAACGCTTTGAAAAACAAAAAGAAAAGCACCCGCTAGTCGTAATGCACCTTTGTCTTGTGTACGATTTCGCATTGCACTGCAGTAGTTAGGTGTTTCATCAGTTGAAGGCCGCTTCCATTTATTACATCATA